ATCATTTTAACCAATTGCCTAATATTTTTTTAATCATATGAGCTATAAGTAACCTTAGACAAAGAAAAACGTTAGAAAGAAAGAGTACACCTATTACTATTAGCGATTGATGGACTTTCCAAATAAAAGCATATAGTCTTTAAGGTTAGTTTTGAAGATCTATTGAGAGATTGTAATTCAAGTAGTTGATGTTTGTATTTTCAAATAAAAAAATTAAGAATAAAATCGAACATCTAATTACTAATAAGCCAATTGAATTGTATTCGTCTCTACCCATGAATTATCGTTGTTGCATAATGTGTTTGTATTTTTGTAAGTGAGTTTTTTAAAGCAAAAATCAAGCAAATTAACTTATGCTAAATTCTAAACCATATATAGAGTGTTTTAAATTCAGAAAATTTCAAGATTTAAAAAAAAAAAAAAAAATTATGCCATGAACTTTGTGTATTTATATAGTGTTCAAATCCATGAGGCGAATCGGTTGAAATGGAACAAAAATGAGTGATTTATTGTATTTGACAAGTATTGTCACATCCCGGTCCGGGCCCCCATCACATCTCGGGCTCGACTCTGCCGTAACACGATATTGTCCGCTTTGAGCCCCAACCACGTCCTCACGGTTTTGTTTCTGGGAACTCACACGAGAATTTTCCAGTGGGTCACCCATCCTGGGATTGCTCTCGCTCGAACTCGCTTAACTTCGGGTTCCACACATCCTGGGCTCGACTCCGCCATAGCATGATATTGTCTACTTTGGGCCCTGACCACACCCTCACGGTTTTGTTTATAGGAACTCACACTAGAACTTCCCAGTGGATCACCCATCCTGGGATTGCTCTCGCGTGAACTCACTTAACTTCGGAGTTCTGATGGAACCCGAAGCCAGTGAGATCCCAAAAGACCTCGTGCAAGGTAGAGATGAGAATATATATATAAGGCTTACATGATCCACTCCTCTGAATGATGTAGGATATTACAAGTATGCTTGCGATAAAAATGAGTAAACTTTGTCTAAACCATAAACCCTATTTGTCATAAGTCAAAACACGATGTAGTGGTGATGATGGTGTTTGGCATATTTAAAACGATTCCCACTAATGTCACAATAATAGTTTTGGGACTTTGTACTTTAAACGTGTGTACTAATGGACTTTGGATCCTCTGGACATTAGTGTCCAGGGCTTAAGAATCAAGAAATCCAAGTCTTTAGTTTGGATGCATAAATTAATCATCTATCGCTTGTAATATTGGACAATGATTAATATAAAATGAGAACAATATGAGATTTATACAGGTACTTTATATTTTTGGCACAATATTTTTTAATAATATTAGCATGAAATTAATGTTAAATTATGAAGTCACATAGAATTTATAAAGAATTTTTATTTCTCTCTAGAAAAATATATGACAAGCCTGAGGCTCACGGGGAGTGGACACGAGATGTTATTTGTTGGATTTTAATGGATTGGCCAGTTAATTGTCAGGCTTGGCTGAATTACAAAGGCAACTACCCTATTTAGAATACTGTAAAAAAAAATTTAAAAAAAAAATTAAATTTTTTAATGATAAATGGAAAAGGACTTGGGTCTAAATTTGTTGAGGCTGGGAAATGGAGTTGCCCAGAAGCATGCTTGCAGACTTGCAGCTTTCATACGACATGCAGACAGTTTTGAAAACGGGATTAGCAATCTCATAGTTTTTTAGGGGTTTCGCTAAAATCGGCTAATCCCATGGTTAGTCGAGGCGGGTGAAAGTTAGTGCCATTAAAGTTAGCCCCAGTGGGAACCAAACATGGGACTGAACTAACCCTTAGTCTAGTCCAATATAGTGAGAGTTAGCAAGGCCAAACAAACGCCCCCTTAATTTACATTTCCAAAATAACTTGAAAACTACTTTTGGAAAGATTTTGTAGTGTGTCCAAAACACAAGTTAGAACCACATGCCATTATATAATTAAAAAAAGTTTTTTTTCAAGTGTTCCTTCAATTTTATAATGATTTGCGGTGTCTTGCCCCATGCCCAAACACATTGAAAAATCTCTCCACTACTTTCAAGTTGGTGGGAAACAATCAATCAACCAATAGGAAGGTTTCTTTTGGTTAGACCATAGAGAGATATGCCCTTGCATACCTTTAAAGCGCATTAAACAAAAGAGAAGAAGATAGTGGATTGCCAAGTAAGCATATCCAATCATGCCACCATTTTCCTCATCCATCATTTTACTCTCCACACCCTCCATTAATTGATGGACCATTTTTCTTGTAGAACAATATTTGGCTCCAAATCATTGTCCAGTACACATATACTTAAGTTACAAAAGAAAAGTTTATATACACATGTCAAATTTAATTTTTTTTGTATCAAAATATAACTTCTTCATATAACGAACCAAGTGTTTTCCGTTTATCCTAAATCATATTACTCTTCACCTCCATTAACTAAGCCTTAGCCTCTTCTCTCTTTTTCCTCAAATTTACGTTCCCCTTCAGCATGTACTATCAAAACTATGTGCATGCCCCTTTTCTCTACTAATTAAACTTCTATCTCCACCATCCCCACTACTACTCTCAAAAGCTTCCAATTTTTCTCCACCACTTCAGTTTCATCTCTATCTCGATGGCTCAAACATCCCCTCCTCCAATTCCTTCAGTGCCTCCAATTCCCAGTCCCATCTCAATAAGAACACTTTGTGATCAAAACCCTAATCATGATCAATTCCAACCCATTCATCATCTCAATTTTATGGTCATCTTGGCAGCAATTTTGTGTGCCCTTGTGTGTGTTCTTGGTATCAATTCCATGTTGCACTGCGTTTTTCAATGCGCAAGTCGTGCCGTCATTGAACCGGTCGAATGGGTAGCTTCACGCCGGCTTAATTCAGGCCTAAAGAAGAAGGAAATGGTGGCTTTGCCTACTTCAACTTACGCTGATTCAGGTACTACTTCTCCATCTTCGTCGTCTTCAGGCTGCGCTATTTGTTTGGCTGATTTTTCTGATGGGGACAAGTTAAGGGTGCTGCCCAAGTGCAACCATCGGTTTCATGTTGCCTGCATTGACAAGTGGTTGCTCTGCCACTCTTCTTGTCCGACTTGCCGACATCGGCTCAAGTCCAGTGACTGCATGCCCTCTCTTTCTGAGATTGTCACAGCCTAAGAGACTCAATAAGAGAAGTACGTCATCAGCTTAGTTGAGTTGCAGATGGGATAGTACGTCATCAGCTTAGTTGAGTTGCAGATGGGATATGAACCTGCAGAAACTCATGAATTTGTATTAGGGTTTCATATTAGTATCCGGTTTTACTACTTTATCTTCCTATATATCCTATTAGGGTTCATATCATATGGAGTTACGAACATGGAGGAGTTTTGAAGCATGCAAACTATATTATTAAATGTTCTAGTTTTGGTATCGCCATATTTCACTTTCATGTGTGTGTGTAAAACATTAACTTATGAGTAAATTGTAGCAATGGTTTTTCAATTTTAATTCAATTTGAGCAATGGTCTCTCAACTAAAAATTCATTATCATCGGTCTCTCAACTCATCAAAACGTGCAGCTATAGTCCGTCAACTAAAAATCAATTACCAATGGTCCCTTAATTTTAATCCAACTGGAGAAATGATCCCTCAATTTTAACCCAATTGGAGAAATGATATCCCAACTTTAACCCAATTGTAGCAATGGTCATTCCAACATAACTCATTTTGACAAAATTCTGACGAAGTTGACAAAAAGGAGCATAGCTACACGTTTTGATGGGTTGAGAGACCAACGGTAATGAATTTTAATTAATGGACCATTACTCTAATTTGATTAAAGTTGAAAGACTATTACTATAATTTATTCTTAACTTATTAATTGACTTTATATAATAAAAACTATGGGAGCTCTAATTTTTTTTTAGGGTGAGTGCGGACAATAATGTGAAAGGCATTAAAATTAAAATTACAACTCACACTTAACAAAGCTACTTTTGGCACCTTTAAATCTTTGTCCAGACTCAGCGTATATTTTTGGGAGTTTTAACGAAACACTCATAGTACTGTTCAATTTTAACGTTAATGACATTTTTACTCTAAAAAGTCACCATGGTACTATTCACTTACAACATTTTTTTGTCCTTTTGATTAAAACTTAAAGTTTTCAAGCCTTTTTTCATTAGTTTTCCTTATATTTTTTAGCGTTCAGCAAATTTTGTTTACAAAGTCTCCCAAGCATTATCTTTTTTTAGAAATGTTAAAGAGACTTTTTGAGAAGTAAGACTCTCTATGAACCCTATGCTACCTTATGTTTTTAATATAATATTTTATAATATTAGCACGAGAATTAACTTTAAAATATGAACCTGTGAGGTAGTAGAGAATCCATAAAAAGTCTCACTTTAAAAGAGTCATTAGCATTTCCCTATATTTTTTCCTGATGTGCAAAAAGTTACTCGATTAGATAAATGTTAATGGCCTTATGTTTTGTACAAGTGAGAGTGAGGACAAAGAAGTTTAAATCAGCACCTCAAGTGAAGTGGTCATATGAAATACGTTAAATCAATTGAGCCACAAATTTTTAGTGAAATACGTTACTTGGTCTACTAACACTCTATCTCTACCTTATTAAAAGAGGTCATGAATTCGAAAAACATGAATCGACAAACGTTGACAAATAGAAAAACAATTGTTTTTAATATGATTTTATTAGTGCTGCTGAAGCCACCAGCACTAGAATTTCGTCAGCTCTCAAGGACAAGCCGCTGCACTTCACTCCCCATGTGATAGACTCAAAGAGGTGAAGGGATCACATTACCCCACAAATGATGAAAGAAGAGAAGAACAAGACATGTCCCAGTTTCGTTATGTTAAATTTGCAAGGAAACCTATCCAGTATTTGGTTTTTGCTAGATAGATATTGTAAAAAGCATCCAATATGTAGTGATTGGTGGGATCACCCTCATCTGATGTGCGAGATTCCGAAACAAGAAACCGAAAAAGAAAAAGCCATTAATTTGTGGAAACTCGAACGATTTTGCACTAATTTGTGATCTTCATAAAGATTTTGTGTCAACTACATCAAACAAGCAACTATTGAAACGAAATGACAGAACACTAACAATTGAATTTTGGCTGTTTCACAAACTGAAGTCATATAATCAAGGAACCTAATGCTATGGACTTCTTAGTTAGTTCTACATTAATACAACGGATAAGTATTCCAGCTCCTAAGCAATTGACAGCAACAGAAGCAAATTCAGTTCTCGTCTTCATCATCGTTTTCTTCTTCAGAGTCATCATAGAATTCATCATCATCATCTTCTTCTTCATATAAAAGCCCTCTGAACTGCTGCTTCCTTATTCGCTTTTGAATTCGGTCCCTTATGGCTGTTCCCTGATACAAGACCATGACAAGTTCAGGTCAAGAAAATGAAACAAAAATCTTCCCTGATTATATTCAAATCAGCTCTCATGCATGCAAACGCAAGTGGTATAACAAAACTAAGAGCAAAGGAGAGGGAGAGAGAGAGAGAGAGAGAGAGAGAGAGAGAGAGAGAGAAAGCCCACCATTTTATGGAAACCTTCTTCAAACCTCTCCAGAAATCCAGCAACCAGCCGGTCAGCGTTCTCCACCCATTCATTATGACGCATGGTGGCAGTCTGCGTTACTATTTGTATCTGCACATTCACAACAGAGTAAAATACAATCAACTTATGACCAGACATCTCTAAGCAAAAACACACTTACTGGTGCTCTTACTAGTGCATGGAAATAAGGAGCCCAGCAAAACCAACAAGATTGTCGATATTATCCGGGAACTAAAGTCCTCAAGAAAATTTGTGAGTCTCATTGGTTTTTCTAAGCCTAAACGTTTTCAAAAATACAAGGTTCACTCTTGCCGAGTGCAAAACATGACCTTATTCTCAAGGAATCCATAAGATGTGAGAACTATTTTGCATAGACACTCAAAATTAAGGAATTAGTCAACAAATTTGTAAAAAAAAAATGAAGCCAGAAGAAAATAAAAGATTAGAGATGTTGTCCATTAAAAAGATAAACATATGCTCTAATTGCAAAAATATGCAGCAAAATTGCAAACACAGTTAGACCGTGGAAGAAGTAAAAGTACTTGAAGGGTACCCTTAGAGAGGATAGACCAAAAAGGCAATACACATCCGATTCTTTTTGGACTATCATCAGTCTAACAAACGGTTGATCTCATGCATTGTTTTCCAATATGCAACCAAATCTATTTAGTATTTTATGCGCAGCTCCACTGGGAAGTATATAAATCAATGACTCAGTTATGAAAGGAAATTCCAAACTGATAGCAATGCAAAAGTATAGGCGTTTGAAGCATGCTGTTACATACATGGTACTGGAGCCTACTGGATTAAAATCTCAGATACTCCTAGTCAGTGATGCGTATAAAAAGGAACCAAAAATTATTAAGCATCATGGTATCATACCTTCTCTCCTACTTTTTCTTGGTGCTCCTTCACCCTCTCACGCAATCTTTTCAGTCCCATGTTGACTCTCAGTCGCTTTTCCTAACAGTAAGAAATAAGGATGACGAAGATCACTTTTCGCACTAGAACAAAAGAAAGTGATCACTTGAACACGACACATTCATATAAACAACTTACCCTCACATAGCTGACACCTAGATCTTTTCTTGTGTACCCACGGTCCAAATTACGCATCACATACTGGTTGTAATCTTTAACTATCCTCATTATGAGATCCGATGTAGAGATCCCATCAGTTCGCTTTGTTTCTTTAAACTTCCCAACAGACTTAACCTGTGTGGCAATTTACATAAACATATAAAAATGATAGTCAAGAATGATGGAGAAATATATCTACCGAGTAAAACTACTAAAATAAAGTTAATACACTGTAAGCATTCGCACTAGTGAATGACTGATAAACAATTACCTGAAACACGGCAAGATGAAAGCAAACATGGCATATAAGACGGGAAGAATTCATTCCTATTGCCACCAGAATTAATCTACTAGACAATAACTGGTTATGTCACGACTGTCTACAAAGAACAAAAGGCTCTTGACAGATACAAAAATGGAAAAAGAGAAGGCCTAACAATGTTCCTAATAGGAAATAAACATATACGTCCGGTTAACTTACAAATTCATAGACATCCTTTCCAGAGCCACTTGCATTAGCATAGCTACAATTACAAATTTAGGAAAAAGAAGAAGCATCAGATTGATGATGCAGAAATTTTGCAAATCGTAATTAATTAGGGGTTGGTTAACTTTACGGAAGAGAGTCATGTGCCACAAAGTCAATCTTATGCTTGTCAAGAAACTCTTGCGAGAGCACCCATGGTGCATCTGGGATAACTTCGTCCACCCATCTGTAGCAAATATATTACAACACAATGCTTTAGGAACAACAATTCAGTAATGTAAAGTAGCTAACTGAGAGTGACGATGCAAAAATATGGTGTTCAACAATTTGGCTATCCCGTGGACCCGAGGGGGGGGGTGAATTCTAAAAAGGGAAAGCTAAGTTCTACCAAAATTAACATTTTTTGTTAGATCAAAACAATCTTTTGACTAATAAAACAAGGTTAATAGCAATAAGCATAAGGTTAACAAATACTTTCATCCGACTCCTTGCCACGATAAGTTGTAACCTAAGATAGATTAGGAAAATGACAAGAACAAAGTGAAAAACTTAAGGCAAATGAATAAACCAACCTGCAATGGCGGAGCGATTCATAGCGCTCCTTCTCAGTCATAACAGTTTTTCCCTTATAATTGTGGGTAATTTCATCACCACAGCAGCCAACAAGCAGGTACGTATTGGGGAACCTAGAGTTTAGACATAAACGAAACAATCCAAAACCAAATCAAACCTCATTCAACTTATCAAATTTAGAAATTTACAAGTAAAATCAGTAACAAAGAACAAAGAGAGAAACTTTTTGGCATCAAATTCGAATTCAGAGGCAGAGAGAAGCAAAGAGAGGACTAATTCAAAAATGTTACTTGACCAATCTTCAAGAAAGTAAGCATCCAATTAAACCCTGAAACAATTTCAAGTCTTGACAGGGAAATTGCTTGATATTCAAGCAAAAAGCATGTAATTTGACTGAAACAATAACAACCCACTTCAATTCTAGAGAGAGAGAGAGAGAGAGAGAGAGAGAGAGAGAGTTACAGCTTCTTGGCTTGCTCGAGAGAACTGGCATGGCCGAAGTGAAAGAGATCATAAATGCCGTCTGCATATACTCTCACTGGACGCTCCTCCTCCTCCTCCTCCTTAATACTCTGCTGCTTCTCTTCCTCCATCTCTGCCTCTCTCAGTCTCTCTCTCAACTGCAAATTCTTTGGGTTTTTGCAAAATTGGTTCTCACACAGAAAGCAGGGAGCTTCACAGCCCCTCTCTCTCTCCCTCTCCCTCTCCCTCTCAAGGACCACAGCAGTTGGAGTCTTCTGCGTTAACGTACAACGGTACAAGTACTCTTCTACGCAGGTTTCTATTCAAGAACTCGGGTGTAACGAGGATAATTGATTATTTGTATCCGCCCGCTAACGTTGTCTTGACGGTTATCCTACATCCAAAAATCAGTTATTTTTTATTGTCCTTTTTTTTTTTTTAATACAAACGCAGTTCGATACGAATGCGTCACCACTGGCGGATTCATGTAGGGACCGGGGGTTCCGGGATCCTTCGGAAACTCGAAGAAACACTTATGATCGACCTTCTGAACCCTCCAATAATTTGGGCAGGTGCAATGGAGAGGCTTGTTGCCTCCATGGAATTGGGCAGGTGCAATGGAGAGGCTTGTTGCCTCCATGGATGTGCAGGCAACTGTGCTTATAACAAAGAAAAAGAAGAGGTTTTTAATTTTTGCTGAGGAAAATTTGTTGGTTTTATTACCCTTAAGATAAAACTTGATTTATTCAATGAACCAAATTCAGTAGAAAATAGTGATATGGAACCACATTAGTCTAATATATATATATATATTTTTTTTTTTTGAGTTTTTATGTTGGGACCCCCATCTTGAAAACCTGGATCTGCCATTGTGCGTCACAACTTCATATTTCATTAACAAATATATATATATATATATATAACTATATATATATATATAACTATATATATATGAGATGGATATGTGGTATTATTATCTTTTATATAGTTTTTGACATGTTGCAGTCCTATTAGATTAGAAATATAATTGTGTAAATCTCAGTAGATATGAGAATGTATCTTATATTTCTATTAGGAGTATATTACTTATTAAATGTTGTAATCCTAAAGGGTAAGGAATTAACATTCCTTACTATTATAAATAAAGGCACAATAGGGTAGAATAACACACACCCACAATTACACATCTATATCTTCTCTCTACTATTGCCGCACCTCCCTCTCTCTCTATGACCTCCGTAATCGTGTAGTAAATTATGCCTACAACACGTTATTAGCATGCTCTTTACGTTGGGCTAACAAGAGAATTTATTCTTCAATCAGGAGAGTTTTACATTTTAATCATTCTTTTTATGATTAATTTATTATTTTATTGAAATTATCTACATGCTATTTATTCAATTTAATTTTTCTGTGTTGAACGTGATACAACACATTGGAGATGCAATTCCTGCTTTATGAGAAGGATATTCTACAAATTCAAAGGTTTTTGTAGTTTTCTGCCAATTAGGTACGCTTAATGACACATCCCGACTCGAATTGTCCACTAGGACTCCGAATCGAGTTGTGATGGCCGACACCTAAAAGGTGACGAAGCCATTAAGTGTAACGATGTGGAATATGTGAATAAATTTAAACCTAGAAGTGCCTAAATACGAGAGTGCGTTGGAGGAGGGAATGAACCCATTTCACAAGTGACGTCAGAATATAAGTAAAGCACAGTAAAATGGATTGAAAATCATACCATCAAAGGTAATCTCCAATACCAAGATTTGCCGCGAATCCTCGTCAATACGAAAACTCTACTACTAGGACCTGGAGGGAAAAAAAAAAGAATGAGTGGGCCTGAAGAATAAGCTTTAATAAAGACCTTCTAAACGTTATAACCCCTCACTGTAATACCTGTATAGTTTCCAGAAAATCATACTACGTAAAAGTATGAAATCAAATGTAAATCAACAGTAAATCCAAGAATATTCCAAATCACTACATATCGGCAGCAGCATAATAAAATCAGGTACTCATCAATTTATGATAACACATGAGTCGGAGTTGCCTAATGCAACATGTACGACAGTGTCGGAGTTGCCTATTACACAAATATAGTCATACCATAACTCAATCATTTCAAATAACACCATAAACGCACCTGAACTTACCTGCACGTCCCGCGTTCACCTTAGCACTTCAAAGCATTCACAACAATTATATGTAGATAATATGCATATGGATATGCCATGATGCAATCTAAAACTCAAACATATCATATTATTTTATAATATATAAGTATATATATGACATGGCATAAAATGCATAAATCAATTTAAAAACATTTGTGGAACTATCAATTATATATATACGATAAAAGGGAAAAGACCCACTCACCTAAGGTTCATGCTATGACTCCCTAGCACGAATATTGAGACGTCACGAACGATCATCACCTAGAGAAAATATTCAGTCACATCTCAGAACTTTTATCAATAGAACACTTAACGTACATAAAACACATCCCAATGACGTTCTAGAATGGTTTGAGACTCATTGATCAAAAGTCAACCATCGGTCAAAGATCAACGATAGAGTCCACAACCCTACATAACTCAATCTGGAAGATCTGCATCTCGGATTTCTGATCCGTAACTTTTAAAGATCCACATTATACTTCTAGGACATCATACTAAAGTTTCATTACGATCCAACGGTTGAATCTCCGCCAATTGCCAATTCAAGTGGCGGTTAATATTATATTTTATGAACTTACAAATCCAATTTGGGAAGATTCATACGTCAGATTCCCAATCCATAAGTTTCTAATATCCTCAAATATTACATACTATAATGTACTAAAGTTTGGTGACGATCCAACCGTTGGATCGTCAATTCACATAATGTTCAAGTAGCGGTCTTTAACAAAACTATTTTTAAACGATGAGATTTCATCAATCGGACTTCACCTATGGAATTGGGGTGTCAAACTTAGTTTAGGAAGGTCAGGGGATGACTCAACTCACGCGCCTCCGCCACGCACCGCTGCACACGTCGGTCGGTCACCCTGATTAGCTAGAAAATTCAACTATCTCCAAAAATTCTCAAATTTTACAGAAATGAAGATCTCAAAAAAGTAGAGCAAGTTTTATACCTGTGACCAAGTCTAATTTGGCCGGGAAAGGCTCCAATATCACTTAAACCCGCCAGAACCCTAAAATGGGTGAACTTCGATTCTCCTTCCTTGGTGTTCCAACGACTCTACCACTGGTTGGGTCTTGTTCCTATGTCCAAGGGAAGTTGATTAAGGGTAGTTTTAGATGGTGGAACTTGCCGGATCGGAGGAATCACTGGCGAGCACCTCCGGTGCTCCGATGGAGTTCCTCACGGTTTTGGACATAAAAACCCTCAAGTGTAGGTGGAGATGGTAGATGGAAGGTTATGGAAGAGATTGCAGGTGATGGATGGTAGAGTTTCACCTAAAAAATGGATGAGATTGGCCGCAATTCACACCGGTTCGAAATCGGGTTGCTACGCATGGATGGGTCGACGGGAAAGGGTGGTTCTTTCTCACCCTTCATGATTAGTCCCTCATTTTATCCTCTTTTCTAATTGGTCCTTAGTTTCATTTAAATTGATTGGTCCTTTATTCCCTTGTTGAAATCTCATTGGCTTCCTTCCCACAAGATGGGAGCTCAAATTATTTAACTAACTTTAAATAATCAATTTCAAACATCTGTAACTATACCGTTATTATCCGGACTCAGAAACGGCTTTCGCCTACACGTTCGTAGCTTCAAAATCTATTCTGAAACATTAATTGTGACTTCGAACAGTCAACGAAAGTTAAACATCCTCGCCTCTAAGGGTATTTTCGTAAAATCACTACTTTAAAATTTATAAAACTTAAAATTTGGGACAAGATGTCACACTAAAAATGAAGTAAGATATTTGAAACGACCTTGAAGCATGAAAACATTTCCCATGATGCATGAACCCCTTACATTTATATTTACCTTCCAATATATATATATATATATATATATATATATATTTGTTCATGCAATACGCAATTATATTATCTGCAATTTGTGAGTCAAAGAATTAAAATAAATTAAAAGCAATTAGGGTTTTTCAAACCCTAGGAATGTCGGAAAAAAAATTATTGGGATTTTTTTATGGCGTTTGACATCCGAACAAAGGCAGCAGCCATTTGGGCTTGTTGCGTGCGAGATTGACTAGGCCTGTGGCCTGTGAAGGTTTTTCAATAGGGCCTGAAGCCCCAGCTCACCTCCAGCTCGCCCTGCAACTGCATGATAGGCCCTGCCCTTGCGGCCCTGGCCCAAACCAGCAGCCTTTATGTTGCTTGGCTTGTCTCGTGTCCCAGCCCGCATACAACAAACCTGCTACTGGTTGGGCTTGCCCCGGAATCTCAGCCCGTATTCCAAACTGCAAGGCTTCGGCTTGCTACTCTTGAATTGAACCAGGTCCAATTGCCTGAGTCCTTAGTGTTGGGCTTCATGCCCTCGGCCCTTGACCCAAAAACCAGCGTATGTTGGGCTTTTGCTTACCCCACTTCCAACAGCTTCTAAGTTGCTGAGCTTTTCCCAACACATGGCCCATGGCCTGCATCCATTCAATTTTTTGCAGGGCCGTGCCTCCCACAACCAGCCCGCACGTGATGGGTTATGCCCTTTTTCTTTTTTTTCTCGATCCGATGCCATTTTTTTGGTATCTTGTGCTTCTTAACCATACCCAAATATTTTTGGGACGTTTTTGGTTAACTTTAAATGAGTTAAAATTCACTTGTCACTTGGCATGTCGCCAATTAAAGCTAATATGACCCACATGTCATTATTTTGCTTTTACGATCGACCCCGAATGGTCCCGATCTATTGAATTAATTAAAAGTGACATGCAGTCCATTAATCTGATAATGAATCCAAAACTATTGACCTGAATATCACTTTTGGACATTAACAATTCAATAATTTATTTCTCTTCTTTGAACCGTTGACATACTTTCGTAGTAACGAAACTCTCACACTTGAGTTCCCGAAGAAACTCAAATCCACTACACTTAGTTGTATATTGCATTATGTGTTCTTGCAGGAACCTCTCTTTTATGAACTAAACGTTCATAAACTAAATTGAACATGTAGTTTCAAATTTAGTACCTTTGAAACCTAAAGTTTTCATAAAACAATACACCCATGAAAACGTGACATTTTTCATGAAACCCATGTGTTAGAACTCAAATGTTCTAACTTTGATGCTTATGGATGATTCATTCCCATAGCACCAACCACAATCTTGTTCCCTCCAATTCAGTGGATTGTAGAACCGTCACAAGTTCGATTTCCCTTATTTGGACGTTTCTAATAGAAAC